AGGAAGAAGCCAAGTCTGAGAATGCACAACTGCAGGCCCAGATGGTGCCTTTGGAAGGAGGAGCAGAATCCTGCGAGGTAGGCAGTAGATTTTAGATTTGATGGGTGTTATGTTTTTATACTCATCCATTTGCAGATGAGAGCTTTCCTAGTAGTGCTAGTGGTAAAGAACCTGCCTGCCAATGCAAGAGACAGGAGACATGGATTCGATCCCTGGGTCAAGAAGTTCCCCTGGAGCAGAGCATGGCAACCCACTCCAGTCTTCTTGCCTGGAGAATCCCATGGACAGAGGAGCCTGGTGGGCTACAGTCCATAGGGTTGCAAAGAGTCAGACATGACTGAAGCAACTTGCACGCATGCTGCTGCTACTAAAAGGGATTGAAAGTGACTGGTGATAGTATATGAAACAATAGACACTATGAGGGCATTTACACTCGAGTTTAGTCGGCCATGCTTTTGTGCCTAGCCTCTCCCAGCCAGGTGGTGATGCTGGCGCAGGTCACCGAGCACTGTGACATAGTCCTCTTCTTATGGTCATAGAAAGCCTTCCGTGAGTGGAGACGAGGGGAGGTACCCTCTGCAAGAAGTCCAAGTGTCTCAGAGAGCCTGCCTGGGGGGCAAGGTGGGTCCCGGAAGGTGTCCTCTGGAGGAGGGATACTGAGACCCTGAGGAGGAGTAGGACTTGCCTGGATTGGTGGGGGAAGGATGTTTCTAGGGGAGGGAATAGCGGATCCTCTCCCCTCCCCCAGCTCCTGGTGATTTCTTTCTTCTGCTTGTTCAGGCCAAAAGCACTGCAGTCACTCTAGACTGTTTTCTCTGTCCTCTGTGTCCCATCTGTGGGAAGACATCTAGAATCCGAGCAGCTTCCACACTTTCACCGACTTTTGCCTCTAGGTGGCCACTATCAGGTCTTATTAGGGGACTTCAAGAACCTTCTGCAAGTCCATGAGTCTGCTTCTGTCTTGTAAATACATTCATTTGGGCTTCCCTGGTGGCTCAGTGGTAAAGAACCTATTTGCCAATGCAGATGTGGGTTTGATCCCTTGGTCGGGAAGAGGAAATGGCAACCCACTCCAGTATTCTTGCCTGGGAAACCGCATGGACAGAGGAACAGTTTGCAGTCCATGGTCTCTGTCCATGGGATTCCAAGAGTCAGACAGGACTTAGCAACTAAACAGCAACAATCATTTTTTTTCTTTTGGTTTACACATATAAATGGCATCATAATGATATTTGTCTTTCTCTATCTGACAATTCAATTAGTGTGATAATCTTTAGATCCATCCTTGGTGCTGAAAATGACATTATTTCACTCTTTTTTATGGCCAAGTAATATCCCATTGTCTCTATGTACCACATCTGCTTTATCCATCCATCTGTGGATGGACATTTAGGTTGCTTCCACGTCTTGGCTATTATTAATAGTGCTGCTATGAACATAGGGGTGCATGTATCTTTTGTAATTATGGTTTCCTTTGGATATACACCTAGGAGGGGGATTTCTGGATCATATGGCAGCTCTATTTTTAGTTTTTAAAAACCTCCATACTGTTTTCCACAGTAGCTGCATCAATTTATGTTTCTACCAACAGTGTAGGAGGGTTCCCTTTTCTCCACACACTGTCCAGCATTTATTGTTTGTAGACTTTTTGATGCTGGCCATTCTGACTGGTGTGAGATGATCTAGTGCACTTTCTAAAGTCATAAAATAGAAATAATTTAAAGTAAGTGACAGCTTTGAACATAGCTAATCACAGTTATTTCCTGGGATAATCACGATTACTTTTCCTTTGGCATTTATTGTGAATGTGATTTTTGGAAGCCAGTTTCCCATTTCTAGTGTTAGCTTCTGCTAGACCAGCTTGGGTTCTCTGTGGACTTATCGTGTGGCAGCAGAGGGGTGCAATTTACAGCGCAGTGACCAGTGGAGGGAGCCCAGCCTGGGTCTCTAACTTTCTTGTGGACTCTTGAAGGCCAGCATGCAGTAGTGTAACTAATAATAGCCAATCCTTTTGGACACATGCCAGGCGCCAGGCACGGTGCTAAATGCTTTGTGTGGATTATCTCATTTAATCCTCAGAAGACCTTGTCATGTTTAGACTATTATTAGGCCTGTTTCTGCAGATTAGGAAATGGAAGCCTAGAAAGGCTAAGTTATTTGAAGGTCAGGCAGCTAGAAATGGCAGAGTTGAGTTACAAACTCAGTTTCCTGCTAATCTCTATGTAATAATATCTTGACGCATCTTTATCACTGCATCAGGATTGCATCAGTATGCTATTTTAAAGCATATAAGGTATTACGTGCTTGCTTTTCACTGAAGTTTTGGTTTTATACAGCAAGCTGCTGCTGCTGCTAAGTCACTTCAGTCGTGTCCGAATCTGTGCGACCCCATAGACGGCAGCCCACCAGGCTCCCCCGTCCCTGGGATTCTCCAGGCAAGAGTACTGGAGTGGGGTGCCATTGCCTTCTCCCTTATACAGCAAGAAGTAAGTCAATAACTAAGTAATAAAGCAAATAAATTAATAAAAATGTAAACATTAATTAAAATAAAGTATTTTAAAAGAACGAAGCCTGGTGTTAGAGAGCGGGTCGGGTCGGGTAACTCCGGGCGCCATCCTAGTAGACCTGTCTGCTGACTCCACAGGGTGCTGTCAGGGTGGTGTCTGAGCTGGTCCCGCCGTCCTGCTGAAGAAGGTGGCACAGACTGGGAGCCCTGGCAGTACCTGCACTTGGTCTCCACCACGAAGCAGGTGACCTTCTCCAGTGTCGCTAGAATGAATTCTTGGCAAATCCTCTCAGCACGTTTCTGGCTATTAGTCCCAAGATCTGCAGCAAATTGATGGAAGGTCTTGCCATTGACACTCCCAGAGATTCAGGGCTGCTCCCCATGACACCTGGGCACTCGTCTCCTCCAAGTCCGTGTTGCTGCCCAGGAGGGGTGCACTGTGATTAGCGCTGACCTCTGCTGGTGTAGGATAAAAAGTGTGTCCAAAGAGCTTTCAAAATAACAAGCTTCTTGAAATAGTGTTTCCATTTAAAATTGAGTCTTATAGAAATGGCTAACTTGGAAAACGAACTGTAGGGCCATAGAAATGTAAACGTATATTGTGAGCTACGGCTTCACTGGTGGCTCAGTGATAAAGAATCCACCTGCCAATGCAGGAGACAGGGGTTCAGTCCCTGGGTTGGGATGATCCCCTGGAGAAGGAAAGGGCTACCCACTCCAGTATTCTGGCCTGGAGAACTCCATGGACAGAGGAGCCTGGAGGGCTACAGTCCCTGGGGTCGCAAAGAGTCGGACACGACTGAGCGACTAAACAACAACAACAACAACAACAGGAAAAGAGCATCTTTAAAGAATTTTCCTTTAAATTTTGGGGCTTCCCAGGTGGTGCTAGTGGTAAAGAATCCGCCTGCCCATGCAGGAGATATAAGAGACCCAGCTTCAATCTCTGGGTTGGGAAGATGCCCTGGAATAGGAAATGGTAACCCACTCTAATATTCTTGCTTGACAACGTCCATGGACAGAGGAGCCTTTGGGGTTACAGTCCATGGGGACAAAGAGTCGGACATGACTGAGCGACTTAGCACACATTGTGATCTAGGCCAGAGCCCCTGGAACATCCCCTCATGGTGCACGTAGTAAAGGATGTGTGTGTGCTGAGTTGCTTCAGTTGTGTCTGACTTTGTGCAACCCTGTGGACTGTAGCCCGCCAGGCTCCTCTGTCCACAGGATTCTCTGGGCAAGAATACTGGAGTGGGTTGCCATTTCCTCCTCCAGCGGATCTTTCCAATGCAGGAATTGAACCCATGTCTCTTACGTCTCCTGAATCGACAGGCAGGTTCTTTACCACTCAGCCACCTGGGAAGCCCCAATAGTAAAGGGTAGTATTTGCATTTCACACCGGGGGTCAGCAGGTGGCACTCATGGAGGTAGCTGCCTGGGGTCTCCAGGGCCCCAGAGCCCATCTACTACCCAGGGGCAGAGGGGACCAAGGTCCCTCCCACCTGTCAAGGACCAACAAGAGGGGAGCTCTGATGGATATATTTTTAACCCCAGTCCTTGCATTTCTGAAAAGAATAGCTTTATGGGAAACTTTCCCGCTCTTAAGGTGTTTGATTATGAGGGTAAGTTCTTAGTTAATGGGATTCCAATTTCTGCAGCTTATTTTCTTTGAAAAAAAAATGTCTCGAAGTGATCAGCGTTTATGCCTTCTCTTAGGAGACTTAATGTCTTCGAAAAAATAATAGGAGCCATACTCTGAACAGAAGTGGATCTCTGCTCATCTGTAGCATGACAGAGTTTGAGCATCACTTCGGTGACTTTAGTAACTGTGAGTAAGTCTCTCTTGATGGACAGTGTCTAAGGAAACATTCTCAAAATCAACACTTGGGCACTGATCTTTTTCAACTGGTTATACAGAACTCATCAAAATTAGCAGGTTTTCTTCTAAGTGATCATCATGGTGTTAAAAATAATTCGTGTGAGGTATGGGCTTCCCAGGTGGTGCAGTGGTAAAGAACCTTCCTGCCAATGCAGGAGATGCAAGAGATGCAGATTCGATCCCTGGGTCGGGAAGATCCCTTGGAGTAGGAAATGACAACCCCCTCCGGTATTCTTGCCTGGAGAATCCCATGGACAGAGGAGCCTGGTGGGTTACAGTCCAAGGGGTCACAAAAGGTCAGACACAGCTGACTCAACACTCACAGTATGAGGCATCGTCCTGTGTGATGATCATAATGATGATCATCATATAAATACATGGCCTGTAATCTCTGAGACTTAGAAGAATGAAAGCTAAGGGGGCTGTATGTTCAATAAAAAGACAGAAGATACTTAAAAAACATCGACCTAGAGATGAAGAGTGCTGACCTAGAAACAAGTGACCTTTCTATTATGTCACTGAGGAAACCATTGGCTGGGGATGGAGCCAGGGACACGGGGTTGTCTATTTTGAGCTGCGTGGTTCTTTATTTCTCTCATCCTTTTGGGTTTCCAGCTGAGACGATCCAACAAAGATTAGAAGCCCTGGAGAAGGAGAGAAGCAGCCTGCACTTTCAGCTTCCTTCGCGACAGCCTGCCCTCAGCGGCCTCCTGGGCCACCTGGGGGCTCAGGCCCGGGCTTCCCTGCGCCAGGCAGCTCAGCGGTAAGCGGTCCCCTGGGGTCCTCTTCCCTTCTCCCTACTCCCGAGTGGGGAAGAACCTGGAGGAGCCGAGCCCAGGAGACCCTCCCTTCTGTTGGTTGGGAGGGGCTGGGGGGTGGAGTGGGGTTCCTTCCAGAAGGAGAGACCTGTGTGGGTCACACGCCCCGAGAAGCCCTTCTGATCAGCGGCAGGAGAGCCCCTTAACCCGCATGGGCCCGGCTGGGCGCTCAGCTCCCCGGAGAAGCCCATCGCCTGAGCAGGTGGCTGGATTTCCTCTGGTCAAGGGCGGTGTGTCTGCTGTCACCTGTAAGACCACAGGCGGGCCCCTCTGACCGAGGGATGAAATACATCCTCCTCCTGAGTCCACCTCCAGGGCATCTTCTGCTGTTTCCTCCATCCAAGGGTCTCCCGGGACCAGGACTAGATGAAGCGCAGTTGCTATTTCCAGTTCGGTGGATCTCAGTCCTGGCTGCCCACTTGAGTCACCTGGGGAGTTTTAAAATGTCCAGCTTCTACCCTGGAGCAGCTAAGTCAGGCTGTCTGGGGCTGGGACCCAGGTGTTGGCCCGCTGGCATGTCTGTAAGCAGTTGCTCTCCTCTGTCTGTTGGTGATCTCTCTCTTCGGGTTTTAAAGACTTGGGAGGAAGGGGCGGTGAGGACTGTGGTCAGCCGAGTCGCAGCACAGGCCAGCTTCTGCTTGGGTACAAACGTGGCCGCAGCACTTACGTTGTATTTCCCGCTTCCACTTGGCTCTGACAGTTACAAGCCTGCGCGGCCTAGTTCTCACGTTCGGTCGATCTTAGCGGCTCCCTACAGCCTGTCTGGCAGCGAGGCTGGTTATTTTCTCGCTTGCTTGTCCTGCAGTTTTGCAGGAAGCATAGAGCAGTGTGCGTGGTCCCTGGTAGCTGCTTCCTTATACATGTTTGTTGAATGAACTTCTACCTCTTAAGGAACCGGTGAACCTCACCTCCTGTTTTTATTTTTATTTTCATCTGTCGTTGAGGTATCAGCTCCTTTCCTGTCCCTTTCTCACATGGGACTGTCCCAGCTTGACTCTCTACTTAATTCATTCTTTCTTTTGATCTTTGGGATTATTTCTCCGCCCCAGTTGTGGGCCATTTGTAGCATCTGCCAATGTATTGTGTTTCTATTCATTTAAGAAACACTTGTGTGAGAATTACTAAGTGCTTTAAGAAGTAACTCCGTTTTTTAACTTCCTTTGTGATAAAATGAATGTAGCATAAAATTTACCATTTCAACCATTTGTAAGTATACAGCTTAGTGGCATTAAGTACGTTCACATTGCTCACATTCACCATCCATCTCCAGAACTTCGTCATCTTCTCAAACTGAAACCCTGTCCTCATTAAACACTAACACCCTATCCGTTTACACTGTGGAAAATAGTGTGGAGGCTCCTTAAAAAACTAAAGCTGGAGCTAAGCTAATTGCAGGTAAGATCTTGCAATCCCACTCCTGGGCATATATATGAAGAAAACTCTAATTCAAAAAGATATAAGCACCCAGTTCATAGCAGCACTGCTTACAATGGCCAGGACAGGCAGGCAACCTATGTATCCATCAGCAGATGAGTGGGTAGAGAAGCTGTGGTGTATATATACAATGAAATACTGCTCAGCCATAAAAAGGAATGAAATAATGTCATTTGCAGCAACATAAATGGACCTAGAGATTATCATACTAAGTGAAGTAAGTCAGATAAAGGCAGAGAATGACAAATATCATATAGTATCATTTATATGTGGAATCTAATATATGATACAAATGAACTTATTTCCAAAACAGAAATAGACTTACAGGCTTCAGAGACAAACTTATGGATATTTAAAGGGGAAGGTGGGGAGAGGGATAATTTAGGAGTTTGGGATTAGCAGATACACACCACTATTTATAAAATAAACAACAAGGCCCTACTGTATAGCACAGGGAACTGTATTCAATATCTTATGATGAACTATGATGGAAAAGAATATGAAAAAGAATGTATCTCTATCTATATATATAGATAGAGAATCACTTTGCCGTGCACCAGATACTAACATAGCGTTGTAAATAAACTGTACTTCAGTGAAAAAAACTCTCTATCTCCATTGTCCCCTCTCCCCCAGCCGTGGGGCAACCACCATTCTGCTCTCTGTCTCTGTGCATTTGACAAGTTTGGGCACCTCACATAAGCGGAATCTTGTGCTATTTGTCCTTTTGCGATGGCTTACTTCACTTAGCCAAGATTTATGTACGTTGTGGCAGGTGTCAGAGCTTCCTTCCTTTTGAAGCTTGAGTCATGTTCCATGGTATCATGTACCGTATTTTGCTTATCTGTTCATCTTTTGATGAACAGGAAGTAATTTACTAAACCCTGAAGACAAGTCTAGGGGGCAGTAGAGTTTGTCTACTGCTGTCTATATGGAGACCTGCCTCGTCATCTGCATCGGTGTCTGCGTTCAGAATTGAGGAAACCAAGGGCAGGAGGGCTGTGGGGACTTGGGTCAGATCCCAGCACGTGTGTGCACACCCTGGGCACAAACCTGGCATTTGGCTTGAGTCCCAGTTGGGAACTCGCTCGCTGTGGGTTCTAAGGCAGAACTGGCCCCTGCTCTCAGGGATCATCTCTTTATCCCCACGTGATGTGGATGGGGAGTGTTGCTTGGTTATGGTCTTGGAATCTAAGATATGCTACCAACACAGAAACAGACTCACAGACTTAGAAGACAAACTTATGGTTATTAAAGGGGAAGGTGGGGAGAGGGATAAATTAGGAGTCTGGGATTAGCAGAAACACACCACTATATATAAAATAGGTAAACAACAGTGTCCTAATATATAGCACAGGGAATTATATTCGATATCTTGTAATGAACTATAATGGAAAAGAACATGAAAAAGAATACACACACATATATATAAATATATATCTGAATCACTTTGCTCTACACCAGAAACTAATAGCAGCCAAAGCACTTTGCTGTATACCAGAAACAAACTTTGTAAATAAACTGTACTTTAATTTAAAAAAACTCCCTAACTCCATTGTCCCCTGTGAGTGTCTCATGGGGCACTGTGAACTAAAAGGCAATGTCCTACATTCTCAGGTTATATCACCTGCCATTTCTCATATTTAATTGTTTGTGACCCATAAAGATAGCATGTTCATGTCACTCAACACACATATGTCCTTTGCAAAAAGATATTATTCACCATTTGTGAAGCCCGTAGAAACCCTCGGCGTACCTTGCTAACCCTGTTGCCTTTGCTCACACGGACGACCTGGACGCCGTGCTTTTAGTTTCTGTTCACGTTTTGAGCCCTCTGGGATTCGATTTCTGTCTCCAGCGCTCCCGCCTGGCAAGGAGGAGGTTCACAGTACCTTGAAGAACCTTGGATTGGAGTTCAGGAAACCTGAGTTTGATCCTGTCTTTTCCACTAACAAGCTCCATGTGACCTAATGTGGTTTCCTACCTTCTCCGCACTTCACTCCTCTCATCAGAAAAGGGGGGAGGGGTTAACTAGATCACTGTTTCCCAAAGTTCAGTTATTTAAATATTACCCTGGCTTTTCTTGTGCTAAATCCATCTGTCCTATTGTTAGAAAATAATGACTCGAAACCAACTCCTTTCTTATCTTTTTCTATTGCATGTTAACAAACTTAGATAGTCATTAATAATTTAAGGAAGCGTCTCTCAATGTGCTGACTGCACATTCAGCCTGTGACATTTGTCATCAGCAGGGTTATCTGGACCTGGCAGGTTTTCTCTGAACCAGGGACTTTGACTGCAGTTCTCACAGAGGCCACCAGGGGGATGTGGTGTCCGGCCGGAGCTTGCGCTGCCGCAGCCCCCGGGGCTCTCTGAGCCCAGGGGAAAGCAGAATGCTCTCCACTGATGGTGTTTTTCCTGAGAAATAAAACAGTGGTATTGACATGGCAAAATTTCAATACTGATTAGTAACACAAATAAGTGCCTCTTCACCTTGGTGAGATCAAGGATTTCCTAGAGGAGCTGATGAAAACGATGGCCACATATGTACAAACGTATGGACGATTGCATACAGACAGTTACATGCAGATCTTCTCAGCTTATTCATTTCCTCTCTGGGAGGAGGAGCTTTGGGTGTCTAGTTAAGAAAATTTGGTTTAGAATAAGATCTGAGGAATTGTAAACACCCAAGTACAACCAGCTACTTCATATCTTAATTTTCCTTTTTAATTCAACTTTTTAAAGAGGTATGTTTAATTCTCTGAGCTTTTCATCCTGAGGCACACTCTGTTTCCAGCTCCTTCCAGCATCCCAGAGAGTGTTAGCTGTCACCACAGGGGTTGACTGGGCTCCTCTAAAGCAGGTAGGGTACTCAGATGGTTTAGCATCTGTCTCTCTCTGTCTTTGGTTCCGCACCGCTCCGTAATATGACTGGTTCCCTGGGGTGTCTCTGCTCAGCGGGGGTACAGAGGCATTGTGGTCTGACCATTCTCTGGTGTGCTGTGCTCTGTTGAACACATCTTTTCCATTTCTCTGTGGCATCTTAGGCAGATAATAACAGATGTCCGGTGCGTTTTCAGTCACTGAGGCTCATCCTGTCAGTCCAGTTTGAAATGCCGGTTGTGTGTCCAATTCAAATCTTTCCTTGTCCGGTGTTTGGAACCCTCCCTTTGTGGGCCATTGCTGCTCCTCTGGCCAACACAGCCTCTCATCCCCCCGTGAACACGGACATGTTCGCTCTTGCGGAACTCAGGTGTGGGGTCCCCAGAGGCCACTGCAGTGCCTCCCTGATCTTCATGTGAACACAACCTCTCCACTCCATGCGGGCAATCGCTGCTTTTTACATGTCACCAGCCTCTTCCTGTGAGTCCCCTTGCCCAGTGGGCACACTGGTTGGGCAGATCCCTTTTGTCATGTCCACTTGATTCCTGGGAAGCTCACATATATTGTCACGCTGAATGGTGGTGTTGCAGCGGCTGGGTTGGGGGTACGGGGGTGGTTCCCGATGCTC